AACCAGTGAGGGAGCTGGGGATCCTCATCTTGTTTCTGTTTATTTATTTATTTATTTATTTTGCTGCTGAAAGCTCTGTTTTTTCCCCAACTGCTGTGGAGGAGAAAGGCTGTAGAGCACAGCAAATAAATTGATAGGAACCCGCATGCTGCTGAATGAATATGTACTGAAATCCTGGATAATTTACTGGCTGCAGAGATGATACATCCCAGAGTTCAAACTGTAAAGAAAAATAAAAAAATATTAATAAAAAAATGGGGTGAGTAGAAGAGGAGGGAGAGCAGGGGGAAACACTTGAAGCTTCCTGCTGGAAGGCTTTTCGAAAAGATAGCCAGTGCGCTGTAGTCTGGGATGCTTCAGCTGGAAAATCTGCAGGCAAGGGAGACACAAGGGGCTGTTTCAGGATTTGAGAGGCCTTTTCAAGGGTGAAGTTCAAGGAATAAATGGGAGGGACAGAGAAGTCAAAAGCAACCACAAGAGTTTAAAAAGCAGGGGAAGTTTGGGGTCAATTGCCATCATTTAATACAAATGCACAGCTTGCTCGCTTAATACTTAGCGGGAGATGTACAATGAAACAGGTTAATACTGAGGAAGAGGAGGAAGCTGAGTTGAGAATGAGAGAAAGCATCGACACCTTTGGCCTAATCTGCCTCGATCTTTCATTATACCCTCCATGGCCAGTGTGTATTTGAGACAGGAGCATTTTCTCTCCATCTGTTGATGTAAGAAACCTTCACCAGGGCTGGGCTGTTGTGAGAGCAGCTCTGCCTGGAGGAGTTGGCCTCCACAAGTGAGTAGAAAACTCATTCCCCATCCTGTGAGACGTTTCAGGGCTTTTTCTTTTCTTCCCTTCCTGTAATAAATACAACAAGTAAAACTCTACACACCATACTCCCCCCCTCCAATTTCAGACTGATTCAAGTGAAATCTTTAATCTGAAGCATATGGGAGCAATTTGTTCCAGTTCTGATATCTAATGATAACAAAAAACTTTTGCAACATTTAGTGCACTGAAATTTCAAACCAAAGGTGCTTTAGAATAAAAATAAATTATTCATATGAAAAAAATAAATAATAAAAAATACAAGAGAGAGAGAGCAGATTATGGCAAATTGAAGAGTATTTTTTTAAATGTTACATCTGGAGATTATTCCCTCTCCAGTGTTCCTGCAAGCAGGTTGCCTCCTGACAAATCAGTTTCTGGGAAATGTGGCGTTTCTTGTGCCAGTTTCCTGCTCTGCTTGAGAGATCCTCATCTCAATAGTCCTGTGCCTCACTCATCAGCCCCTTAAATGTGTGCTGAAACGACCCATGCTGAGCTTTCTTGTTGCAAAATCTGTCCATTTACCTGGGCTGGACAAGCTGAACTGAACAGCAAGGGGAACTTTTTGCTTTTGCTAGTCAAAAAGAAAATACAAATGAGTTAACGGGCAGCTTTTGCAGTGAGAATGTAGAAGGAAAGCTGCTTGTGCTTTTTTTTCCCCCGTTCATTTACTTATTTTTTAAAGTGATGATGGGAAAATGGATTAAGCAATCTGACATCTAAAGGGAGAACTGTATGAACCAGACACCTTCTGTCACAGCCTGGAGCAGCAAGCAGTCTGGTATATACAAACTATAAAGCATCAGGTATTCTGGAGACTGGGACAGGACCCAAAACCAAGTTAATGGGGCATTCAGATGAGAATAAAAGAAACCTTATTTAAGGAGTTATAAAATCATCGAAATATGTTCCACGTATAGAAGGAACAAGAGGTCACTGAAGTGGCCAGTTGGGCTTACATAAGGCACTGAGGGCAACATGCTGGCAGTACACATGCTAGATGATGCCAAAGAAATCAAATGTAGCTTGCCTCAGCTTAGGAAGGCCAAAGGAGCAATAACACAAAGAGATTCAATTATAACTTGGGTTGTCCCCTGGTGCTAGCATGTTTCTAGAGCTGGAACTGAAGCTGTTCCATCCAAAATAGGGTTCATTGTTTACAAGCCCAGTGGCTCACCACATCAAGCTGTCTCTTCCCACTCTGAACTGACCTTTAGGTTTTCTTCAGACCATGGAAAGGAAAATCATGCCGGAGCCCCACGGGCTACTGCAGAAAGCCTGTCCCCTCTCCTTGCACTGTCCCCACCACAGCAAAGCCCCATCCCTTCTGCATAAAAACCCTTTACACTTAAAAGACCAATGACCCAACTTATAAAATAGTCCCCAGATAGTTCCCAGTGCAGGAAGCGCTGGGTCTCTCCTGTCAAAGATGTGTAGGATAATATTTGGGGCAGGAGAACTCTGCAAAGGATACCCCATCTCTAGAGTTTCTGAGGGAAGGGAGAGGAATGGCTGGCCTGACTTAGTCCTTAGATTTAAGAAAAATATCTCCAGTTGTTAATCCCACATGAAATTTCTGCCACTCAGCATTTTTTTTCTTTTATTTTTTCTTATAGAGGGACTGGTACAAGGCAGAGCCTTGCTCAGAGTGCTGGGTTCTGCGAACTATCATCTTTAGGAATTGACTAATTAGGATTTAGGAACAGAGTCTAATACTGATCCTTAAATCCTTCCTGTGAATCTAGTCCCATATGTATGGGTATTTAGTCTTTGGGAACATTCACAGCCCTGCACAGTTTGGTTTTCCTATCTCTAAAATGTGCAGGTTGAATAACAACACGGGAAATCCTGCAAGAGTTTGGCTCTGTATTTGTTTAATCCCTCTGGATTGTTGTATCCAAATATTTATGTTACCTGAGATTTTGTTACAAATTTAATAATCAGAGCTGCTATACTCCAGCAGGCAACAAAAACAGCCTTTGATTTGCACAATGCTTGGAGAAGGGATCAATCTTCAGTGCCTAGAAGGCGCTTTGCCCATGGCAATGCATAAACACACCAGCATGGGGTTTTGTGCTTGCAGGAGTAAATCACTTCTGTTATCCCTTCTGAAAAGTTAATCTGAAACATAGTTTCCTGTGCAAAAATTAAGGGGAGGCTTATCACCCACATAACCATAACTCTGTAGGTTATCGGACTATATTTTGTGGTTAAGTTGAAGCATATTTTCAGATAAATGTCTAATTCAATACTGTTTTTCCCCCCTCTATCTGTCTGCCATTCTTCCCATTTCCCTGATAACAGTCACTATTAATAGACATGTTACTGAAGTCAGCACTTGGCAGTTCTAGTTTATGGTTTTAATTGAGAGAGGCGTATCCAAGCCATGTGGACTGCTTTGTCCAGCTCCAGGCACTACAGCAGAAACATTGGGTACTCCAGACACACAAGATTCAAACTGCAGGAGAGAAAGGTGAAAAATCATCGTCAAATAAAAGAATTGGACTTGCTGAACACCAAGGAAAGCATTCTAACTTGTTGGGTAGGTAAGCACTGCAATGGACTGTGCAGGAAGGTTTCAAATGGGAGGATTTTAAGAAACCTGAGAGAGGTGAATCAGGCCTTGAGCTGACCTATTGTGGATACTAGTTGAGGGACTGCTGTATTTCATTGTCCTTAAAATAAGTTGTCATCCTGACTTAAACCCGGTTCAAATTAACATCCACATTTGAATATGGCAATTAAGGACTGGAGGAAATGAATAATAACGCCATTCTAGACCTTTCCTCCAAGTCTTTTCTTTGCTTGACAGGTGTGGAGATGAGGTTCAGCACCTTGGGCTGTAACCTAATCAGATCTGTTTTTGTTCACAGGGTTGAAAAGGTGAGTAATAACAAAAGCTTCATCTGAAACCTCTGAAACAGAGCAATCACTGCTCTCCTGAATGTATGCAATGTATTGGTAGATATCCTTACTACACCAGACACAAACTTCATGAGAACAACTTCATAAGAATTACTGTGGAAATATCTTGTAAGTTTTTTTGGCTGGTTAGTTGGTTACCACAAGCAAATTATAACTAAATATCGGCTCTTCTCTCTTAAGTTCCCAGACTTCCCAATGCCAGCATCATCTTTTCAGTCTTCCTCTGGAACAACCTTGTCATCCAAAGCCACTTATTGTTGAATTTTGTCATAAACAGGACCCAGCAATGTTTCCTGTGCTGCTGATTACTTTTTTTCCCTCTACATCTCTGTCCTGAGCTCTTGGCAGGAAGGAATTTGTACCACCAGAGCCCATCTGCTCACCCAGCCCCTCGTTTTGCTGATGATCTCCATGTTGCTGTGAAGAGCTCCAGGCCTACTGACATGTGCTGCTCATCAGCAGCAAAGGAAGCTTCAGCTGATAAGGTCAAACTGGATGAGCTAATTGTTTTAATCAACAAATTCCTCTACACGAGAGAGATGCAGCTGCCTGGCCAACACCATCACCCAGCCAGTTCACAGGAGGACACCAATTAGCTTGCTAAAATGTTAATGAAGAGGTGAAGTTGTAGAAGCAATGCATGGAGCAGGCCTAGTGGTATAAAGTGGGGGAGCCAGGTGGAGGTGGGAGAGGAATGTGACTCTGTCAGAGATGAGGCCAGGCAGTGAGGGAGTTTGTGAATTCGGGTCGGTGTCTGAACAGCCAAGGAGCAGCAGGACCCCACCAGAGCCGGGCCTACTCTCTAGTGGAGATCCCAGCTCTGGCCTGTCTAGTGAGTCTCCGTGGGCTATTAACACAGTTCTCATGAATCAGAAAGTTTTTTGTCTTATTACAGAGCACCAAGAGGATGTTTCTTGTGACTAATTAATCTCTCCTCACTCTTCATGTCTCACTTCATTCTCTTCTTCATTATTCCCCGTGGGCCTCTAGGCCTGGAAATCTCATTACTGCAAACACCATCTTTTGCTCCCTTCAAAACTCACATCATTACAGATCCCAACAGTTCTTGTAAGAAAAGCAAAGGCTCCATTTGAACCTTCTCCTGGGCCTTCTCAGCCATTTTAAGCTGCTCAATTATTTGCCCATCAATTACACAAACTAGGCATAGCAGTGAAATCAGGACCCCACTGTCTGAGGTGCAAATGAGGCAAATAAACCTCAACCCTCTCCCTGGTGAATTCACAGTCCACCTGCATGTGCAACATTGTCTCTCTGGGGCCTCTTGTTGGAAAAATATCCTTTAAATGGTAAAAAGATTAACCACTAATTGAAGGAAGAGTGAGTCTAAGCAGCACAAATATATATGGGAGGGTGTTATATTGGAAGTCCATGAAGAGAAGCTCTGGCACTTCAGTTTGTTTGATTTTTTGTTTTGTTTTGCTTTCATTTCAGCAATGTTTAAGATCTGGGAAGAAGATGTGTATGTGAGGAATAAAACATTACTAAGAATCTAGGTGTTGATTAGGGGACAGGGGACATCCTGCAGTATCACCAAAAATGCCTTTCTGAGAGTTACGTTGCAAAGCCTTAGGACAAGGACTGAGCTGGTGAACCTCTTTGTACTCGCATATATCATGTAGCACGTTGGGAATCGAGCCTAGCTCACCAAAATTGGAGGCATGAGGCAAATTAGGTTGTCATTCCTCTACTGCTGGGAAACATCTTGGTGCTGGTGGTACCTACCACAGTCCGAGGGGTTATTTAAGAATGCCCTAGTCCTTTCCCTATCACTGGTGTATTGCCCATAGCCCACCTTTTTCCCTCCACCAAAGGTGTGATAGCGCATTTCTTGGCAGTCTCACAGGTGCTGTACTTCTGTCCCTGTCTAGATGCTGAAATCATGAGCATTGACCAAGACCTCCTGTGAATAGTTTTAATTTTTATATTCAATGATTGTGTACCAGCAACCTGAAAATCCTCTGTCCCCGTCATCTCCTACCACATCTCTTGAGGTGTGTGTTTGAAACCAGAAGGATCCAGACGGAGAAGCCTTGGCTACACTGAATAGCCCCAAGTTCTTCCTTGACAAAACTGCTTAACTCCAGTGGGACTCCAGCAGTGATGAATTCTGACCTTTACAAGAAATCCAAAGCAGAGCAAGAGAGTGTCTCTGTTTTCTCATTTAAATTTTACACTTGAAGGACATACATACATTTTAAACCCACCTCTTTAATCCTTGCAGCTGAACCATTCAGCTCTTGTGTTGCCACTGAGAATTCAGGCAAAATGTTTGACAGAGGGCTAGAGAGCTGCTCCACATCATTAAGGAAAGCAGAGGTAGGGGGCGAGAGTGTGTGACCTCTGGAAGAAATAACACACACTGACTGCATCAAACAGTAAAAAATTGCTAGAAAAGAAGAGGATTAAACCCTTAAACCGCACTTGAAATCACATATGCCCCAAAGTAGAGAAATTCCATCCTATCTTGTTTTCTCCTTGTATAATTAGTCTTCAAATACGCTTACTGGAGTGAGTGCATTTGTCCCAATCTAAGGAAACAAACGGAATGATGTAACTGGTTTCTTTCAGTTCCCACTTCAGTGCAACTTCACAATACCCTTGGACTTCAGGGGATTAAGTTCCTGTCTTGGCTGTGGTCCAGTTACTGGTCATTGCTATTTGTCGATTATCCCAGCATTCCAGAAAACATTTTATCCCCTTCATTAACTCACAATTGACCAATCACATAAATCAGGTTAAGGACTAGTGGACATGTCTACAAAGAAAGGAGAGATTCAAAGAAAGGCCAGATTAAATAACAGGTTGAATCTGATGTTTTTGAAGATCTCTATTCTTGAAATTGCAAATAATGACCCTTGCAAAAAAAAGAGAACATTAATTAAAACTACCACTCTTTTGTTCACACTTCCCAAAGATGAAGAAATATCATTTCCCCATAGCAAGTCCCTACCTTCTTAAAGATGCATTACTTGCTTCCATCATCATGTTTAAAAACATGTTATTTACACATATAAAATCTGTGAATACATGAATGCACAGATACAAAACCATGTTATGGGCTCACTGTGCTACCAGTGCACCAACATTGGTGTGCTCCTGCGTAGACGACTGAACACCGTAGGCACACTGATGCAAGACTGAACTCAGGTCTGCATGAACCTTTAATCCAGCCAGAGTAAGGAGAAGCCTTGGCACTGACTTCACTCAGAGCAAGACAGTGTCTTGTATAAAATCAGCCTTGCAGCTTTTTGTCTGATGTGTTGGTGGCTTAGGACCATTCTGGTTGCAGGTGTGTAGCTTCTCCTGCTTCAACACAAGGACCCTCAAGCCACCCGCAGAGTAACTTTTAGGGCTGCAGTTGTGGATCCTGCCCTTCCTATGCCTTCTTCTGTGTTTTGCCATGCTGCAACCCTGGAGCTGTAGGAGAGTGATGTGCCTATTGTTGGTATTGTTGGTATTTTGAATATATATTTTTTTCTCGGTTTGACTTGGGGATGAATGTTTCCAAGAATGTAACTGTCTGGGTTTTAAATTGTACACTTCTGACATGGGCTATTCTCTGAGTTCTTGCGTATGTGTGACCAACATGTCTGTGTCTGTGGGCAGGACCAGTAAATGCTGCCTGATGATGGGCGACTGGTGTGCCCACATCCTCTCCATCCAAGGCCTGGGCTGGTGTGGGCTCCCAGGGGGACAGGCAAAATATGTGGTTCCCTTCTTTTGGTGGCCATGGGTTTGATTTTCTGTAATAAAACACAAGCGTTATTTCTATGTACAAAGACTGCTCTGCCTAAGCGATTTTGACCCTACAAGAAGACAGACTGCAATATTAGTTACATCAGGGAAGAGAAATTGAAGCTACACAATCAGTGTGGGACCTATTCTTTTTTCTCTTCAAGGAGATGGGGGCTGTCATGCAGAGTATAGAGAGCTTTTCTTCCTCTGCATTTTCAAGGCACTGGCCTTCATGGTAGACATCTTCATAGGCCCAATAGCAGTGACTCTATGGAGGTTTTGTACCACTCCAAGCACAGAGATTCTTGACTTGGGTCTTGGATCTGAAAGTTAGCAGATAAGAGCTATGGGCTATCTCCAGCAAAATGGATCTTCAAGAGGGAAAATCTGATGCTATTACATCCAAGGATTGGTATGCACCTTGGTGCTTCTATCCAAGACGCAGCTTTTATGGGACACCAGAGTTAACTGAAGTGAATCCTTCTGGCTTTGGGATGCCCTAATTTAAGTTGTTATAGCAAAAATATATATTGTTATATGGTTATATATTGTAATATATATATAATGTTATAGCCACCAGCCATGGGTGGCTGGAGGGCTGAGGGCACCAGCCATTTCCTCTTGCTCAGAATGGTCCTTGCTGGCCTTAAGTGCCACGCATGTAGTGGTGAATTATGTATGCATGCGATCTGTGTCTGGCATTAAGACTTGCCTCCACCAAACGATCCAGTTTGAATTATTAAAAACTCACCAGGGCTTTTCCTCACTGAGCTCCAAATGTCTTCTTGTTTCCTGCTGAAGCTGTTGAATGTTTTGATAGGTGCCAATGACACCGAGAGATTACTGGAAGCTCTAGTTCTACCTGACCCTTCAAGGCTTGCAGAGGAGCAGATAGTGGTGATGGAGCTGGCACTGGCACCTTCACCATTGCTGATGCCTCCATTACCTTTACCACCTCCCTCACCACTTCTGCAGAGTTGTTAGGAGCCATGGCTGTGGCTGATCCATCATCTGAAGAAACAGATCCAGTGTTCATATGGCTGATCAGAGTGCCAGGGGACTGGGCAGACCCTGTGGTGCAAAAGGTGATGAGTAGTGAACAATTTTTTTGACTGTTAGTGGATTGGAAATTCTTGGCCCCAAAGGCCATGAGGGCACTAGAAGATGGCATGGATTCTGTGACTTTAACAAAGATTTCTTGAGGAGAGTAATTGCCTCTGGAGGAACATAAAACTGGATTGTAGGATTTGGGAGTTAATAGTTTTATCTTCTTAATCCCATGAAGGGCCTATTGAAGGGGAGAGCAGAAAGCTGTCTAATACCAGCAGCCCCAAAGCCTCTACACATCCCACACTGCCTTTGGCTATGCTACACAGCTTTCTTGGGCCTCCTGCTGTAAGTAGAACCTAAATAAATCCCCTCAGTATCAGTGGACAAATACACAGATTTATGCCAGATTTATGCCTTTATGCCTCACCATACTGGGACAGGTATGATGTAAGTCAGCACAAATTTTAAGTTCAGAGGGTCTAAAGAATGGAAGTGGTCCCTGGCTTGAGATTCACTGAACTTAATGCATTACATACAGACTGATTTAAAATCCCAGATGCCATTTGGCATCCGTGCCTAGATGATGCCTAAATAAGAGTAGTTTTTTAGCCATTACTTTTAAGCAGTCTTCCTGGCAAAAGGACAATGACATAGTGTGCTGTGATTGCATTTGCACCAACTTTTCACTAAGTACTGATTTATGTTTATTTAATCACCAATACTGGTTTATATGTTATGCCTCATTTCTTTAAACAGTATGTTTCTCCCCATCTCCCCCCACCAAAAAAAAAATCAGTGTAAAGGATTTATGATGGAAAATCCATAAAAGGTTCCTTTTGTTCCACCTAATTGAATTTCACCTCCCGTTACCATTACCTTATTCCTGTTAGCAGCACAGAGAATGAAAAGCTTTGGCAAGTTTTTGGGTGAGTACATCCAAGAAGTTAGAAATCTTGGCCTTTCTTCTGGAAGGTATTGTGTAAGGCAGACATCCTGGACATATCCCTGTGCTTACTCCCCTTTCCTTCTGCATCATTCCTAGACCCTGCCTGAAGTTTTGGGGTAGTTACATTAAACGGTTCTATAGGATAGAGTTTCTCAAACCTATGCTAGTTCACCAAGCTTTGCTTCACCAAGCTTTTTGGTATTTATTTTTATTTTTTATTTTTTATTTAAAAAAAGGATTCATACAACTTTAGCAGTCCTTAGACTTTGTTTCTGTGAGGCTTTGGTTCAGGAGTGATTCCAGCCCCAGCTCTTACCTGGCAGCATCACATTGCAGCTTTGTATCATGCCTTTTCTGGTTCACGCAACCTTCAGGAGCAGCAGCTCAGTGACTTCACACAGAGCTGAAGCCCACTTCCATGACTTCCTGCCTGCAAAGGGCAAGTTGCCTTTCTGCTTTCGTTTTTAGCCATGCTCAGGCACTGTCTATTCTTAACAAAGAAGTGATCCTCTGTGTGGTAATGAACTGGCCAGTCTACATATAAACTTACTGCTGGAAAGAACATGCTGCTCACAGAGGTCAAAGGCCCTCAGTTGCCAACAGAAATATAATTTAATGAGCAGGAGGCGTTTACTTTTGAAAAAAAGAAGTATCTGTGCTCTGGATCTTGCTCCACAAAAAATGAATAGGATGCATAACTAAATCCCATTGGAACTGGGTGTAAAACTGAGATCTTCCAGCCCTGGCTTGGCTGCTGTCTGTGTCTGAATTCTCCAGGGACATGACTTGCACTGGCACTTGGACCTTCAGGTGTTTGGACATGCAATGTGAACGAGCCAGTTCACCTCACAATATGAGTTTCACAGTGATCCAGGCAGATGGAGAGGTGCTATCACAGGCAAGGATGGGTCCTCAGCATGAATATTTATTGTGCCTAAGGACACTGGAAGACCAAAGAGCTGGGATGAGTCTATTGTGAACAACCTGGCAGCATTTCAACACCTGAAAATATGTTTTGCCAATGTTAGGGGTGGTTTTCTGGGTACCTAAGTATCCGGTCTAACCCCAGCTAAAATTTAACATTCATCAGACTATGTACAAAATGTATGTCTCTAGCTGTTTCTCCAGCAAGGTGCACATCTACTGGTGTTTGTAGGTCATCTCTGAGGGTGGGTATCATGAAAAATGCAGCCAGCAGACACAAGGTTGAAGGAAGATCTTCTAAGATCTTAGACTTACCAGGTTATTTGTGTGGCTTCTACTCCATATCAATCATCCAAGTAACGCAGTGATAAAATCCTTTGGCTGGATTAAAAACATGACTTGGTAAGGTATAAATGAGGTTAACTCCTCTCTGCAGATACTAGTCTTGGCAAAAGTCTGTCTCATCTCAGAAGTAAGGGCATTCTTATGGATCCAATTAGAGAAAAAAACACCGTCTGGCAAGAAAGAATAAAAATTATAATGCTTCTGATTATACAATGGCAGCTGGAATAAAATTTTCTCTTATGGGAGCATGTGAGCTCAATGTGAAAGTAGAAACTGGGCTTGTCAGACTTAATTAGAGTGAGAGGAATGGCTTACGGTCAGAAACTGCATACATTGTCCACTCCTGGCTGCTGGGGCTGGGCCAGACTCCGAGATCAGTGGGCCAGCACCCAGCACCAGGTCACTCCCAAAGAGATGGACATTCACACCAAGTGCTTCTCACTGCTGGTAGTGCAAGAAGTGTGGACTTTCTCTTTGGTTAAAACATTATCTTAACCCGGGGTCTGAATGTAGAGGTTTCACCAGAAAGTCGCAAAGCACACTCTAAGTATCAGTCAGTGGAAGGCCCTCTGTTACGGATGGGATATGAGCCAGCGTGTTGCAGCAAAACATATGTATACTGAAGGCTGGTTTGGACAATAAGAAGGGCCATCACGGGTAATACATGAAATCTGTCCACCTGAAATGAGTAAACGGCTGTAATTACATTAGTATCTCTCTTATAGCACCCTCTTAAGCTAGAGATTTCCTGCTATTCCCAGTTTATATGGAGGCCCAAGGGACAAGGAGGCTATAGGATTTCAGTGGGATCTAGAGGTTCAGATACCCTTCCGAGACCTACCCTTGGGGACACATATATCATCATGAGAGAATGGTCTCTGAAGGGCTGCCAGCCGCCTGTCCACAAGGTGGTGGACTGGGAGTGCACTTGCATTGGCACACTGACCTTCAGCGCTTATTTGGGCACCAGCGCTCACACTGCTTTGTGGACAGTATAGAAATAGGTGCAGAGTTATAAAGAAAAAAAGGGAGAATAAAGAAAGGGGAAAGAACTGTCGCATCTTCACTGGTACCATGCACTGAATCAAGTGCACTTCTGCTCTCTTGAGTTGGGATCCCGGATCTTGGGGGATCTTTCCCCTGACAGCAGCTTCTAAGATGGCATCAAAGCAGTTTTGTTTTCCTCAGGCTTCTGCTGGTCTTAATAAATCAGCCTGAAGTAGAACCTTTAAAGTAGAACCTTGGAAAATATTTAGTGAGAAGGGCAGCAAAAGAGGCACTGTCACCAACCTGCACGGCTGCAAGGACACTTGAGGCAATTCTGTCTTTGGACGACTTAGCTTATAAACTGTGAGCAAGGCATTTAAAGGGACTTTCCGAAAAATTTCCTATGTGAACACAAAGAAGTAATTTTATCAAATCCTTGGTAGTTAATATATATAATATTATATATAATATATATATATATATATATATATATATATATATATATATATATATATATATATATATATAATATAATATAATATTCTCCTCTTTTGCCTTCATCCAGCTTATATTTTATGATTCCAGGAAAAGAAGCTGTCCTGAAGAGTGACTAGGGCTTCAATTTTATCTGAGTTCTCTAAGTGTTATTGCAAATACAAAGGCAGATCATTGCATGTCCTATTCTGTATCAAACCAAACATTACTTGTCCTACAGACTCAAGGTCTTTCCTTCTGCAAGTCAAAATCATTGGGTTGTAGGGAAAGAAGAAGCCCATAAAATTCTTAATATTGACTTTAAGGGTATTTTCCCCACTTGATGCAAAGTGAGATGCACATTTCTTAAAAGAACAGCAGAAAGTCACTGGCTTTCCACCTGACATAGTTATTAATATCGTCATGCTCCCTTGTGAAAGGGCATCATGTACTCTGCTGAAGACCAGGTAGAGTTACGTCCCTCTCTTCTTGAGGCAAATGTACAAGTGGTATCTTGGACTCAGATGTATGCAGTCCTTTGAAATATGATTTGTCCCCTGGTCCTGTTGCCCATTTTGCATGGTGGCAGTGGGTGGAACTGTCATGTTGATGTCCCCATTGGTGACTGCATGTATTTCAGGAATGCTCTGTAATACAACCTGGCTCATTGTTGACAGCCAGAACTTTCCGTGAAGTCCACAAGCTCCTTTTCTTCTCTTCAGCTTGCCTACTTATTACTGGACCAGTAATGAAACAGGTGTGCCTGGAGCACACGGAGGCATCACTGCACCAAACTGCATCGTTCAGGCAAGAGTAGGAGAAGGCGCTTCCTGGGGAAGAGATCTCTTGCCACTGTCTGCAGGGTGTCCTTATATATCCATCATTGCCTGGTGTATTACCCAAGGGCAAAGATCTGACCAACTTCTAAGCAGGCACTGTGCCATCGTAACAGATGGGCATAAATGGGGCAGCCAAGAAGCCATGTATGTGCATCTAGTGTGTTTAAGGGTTAGATTCCCATCCAGGAACGTCGCAGCAGCTGTCCACCCTCAGTTTACGTGCCTATAGTTTAGGGGGATCTGCCATCACTAATCCAGCTTCAGAGCTGGTTTAACTTTCAAAAATTAAAAATAGCACTCACTGCCCCATATGGAGAGTGAGTCTTGACCCATTCACATCAAGGGGTTGTGTGGGTGAATGGAGGGGGGGCTAGCATCAAAGAACAGCAGGGTAGGGAAGTGCGTTGACCTCTACTTGTCTTGTTGGGATCCACTCTAGGATTGTGTTAGGAATGCCTCTACACACTGGCCAGCTCTGACCACCGTGCCCAAGACAGGGTTTGGGCTCTGCTAGAAGCTCTGCACTCCCTGCATCAGATTCTGTCATCCCATTCATCTCAGCCCTATGGCTCCACACTGTCCCGTATCAGATCTAGTGGTTCAAAATTTACATTTTAAAGCTCTAAATGCCCTATACTTAAAATTGAACCTTTCTGGCAAGTACCTAAGGTCTGTGTTTCAGATTCCACTATTGATGAATGCTTCATCCAAGCCCTTAATATCTCAAAGAAAGATGCTCTGGTGTAACAGAGCTGTGGATGCAGCTCTTTACAAGGAAGAAGTATGATTTTTCCCTGAGTTTAATTATTGCATTTTAAGAGAGTTTAAAGGCTCAGAGCTAGAATGAATAATTTATAAACTGATTGAAAAAGATCATACACTGAAGAACCTGCCTTAGAGGGTTAGCTGTTAGAGAGGACTTTGGATCTATGATCTGTGGATTATGTGCTTCTCAGATGAGTTAAGAAAGGATGTGAACCAGTCAAAACATAGGGAGCCACCTTAATTAACCCCAAGAAAAGGTTAAATACAGTTCTGTGTTTGCCATCTTGCTACCTCCTGAAACGTCGGGCAGTGATGCCCAGTGGCTAAAGCATCTCTATTAATTTCCCATCCAAAGCATCCTTACACTTCAATCTCTATAACGTATATATGTGTCAAACATGACCAACGCCCAGGATTTCTCCTCTTTCCTCCTCTTGTAAAAGGTTTTTCTTCAGTCACTGGTGTATCAGGGGAAGCTGGCTGTACCTTTACATCCCAGCTGGTCTGAGTGGGAGCTCACCCTGAGAGTGGTGTTTGT